AACAGCAGCGACAGTGATGGGGGGAAAATGGACATAGGATTTACTGAATTGAGGCAAGAAGAGTACAGTGGCATAAGCACAGTTGCTATGAACCAGGATTTTTTTTTAAAGATTTATTTTTATTTATTTATACAAGCACTGGGCACAGTCAGAAGCGTGGGAGGGTGAGAGAATTCACCAGAGCCAGAGCGGGGAGCAGAACAGGCAGACTGACGAAGTACACTGCTGAGGGGAGCAGCGGGCGGCAGGAGAGGTCTGCGTGCCATGCAGGACCCTCTGGTGGCCGGGATGCAGCAGGGGATCGAACCGGCGCCGCTGCGGAGGCTGCGGGCATCTTCTCAACTCAGCGCTCAACCCCTGCGCCACCAGGGAGGCCCAAACCAGGATTTATTTTGAGTAAAGGCCCAACTGCCAAATGTTAGGGAAGGAAGGAAAGAGCAAGTAAGGATGGGGGAGTGAGAAAAGGGAAAGGAAGGAAAAGAAGGAGGGAGAGAGAAGGAAACAAAGAAAAGTCCTTTAGGCCTTTGGAAGGATGAGTATTAGGTATCCTTGGTCTGCCCTGGGGTATTGCATTTCTTAGTCTGAATGAATGAAATTTGATACCCCCTTGCAGGAAGTTAGAAAAAGTTCTCATTTGTTTGCCTAAGGGCTATAACTAAACCCTGTAGCCAGAAGTTATTGGGGGTGCTCCACTCTGTTCCCAGTTTCCTCAAGCTTTCTCTGGGCTGGGGATTCTTTGGTTCTAATGGTCGGCTGGAAAGATGGGGTTCTTTTCAACTCTGGGACTTGTGAAGCCACCTCCCCCCTACGGGGTTTCTCTTTTCGGGTTTGCTGGTGGGAATGGACAGAACACTACTGATGACCACCTTCTTGAAAATCATTCAGGGTTGTTACTGATAAGCCAAAAGACAGTTTAACAGAATGTTGTACTCCATGGTAAGGACTTTTTAACTTCCTTTTGAAATATTACATCAATGACACATTCTTATAGAATAACTATAGAGTAAACACAAAATGAGAATCACCCAAAACTTACCACCCAGGGATAACCATATCAGTATCTTGTATATCATACAAGATTTGTATATCATGCAAATGCAGACATGTATGTTATATGAAAATAGTGTCATATCCATCCATTGCTTTGCAACCTGTTCCCCTTCTACCATTTGTCAGGCTATTGTGAACATTTCAGGCCAGTATTCTACACAACATTGTCAATGGCTGGCAACCCCAAACTCTCAGAGGTGGAAGAATAAACATTTGTTTAGTTTACAAGTTTACAAGGGTGCAGCTGATCGGGGCTCTGGGTTTGCAGTTCAGCTGCTATGGACTCAGCTTCGCTGCTCTTGAGCTCCCTCATATGCCTATACAATCAGCTGCCAGCTGCCACTTGGCTGAAAAGTCCTCCCCATTTAAATGTGCTCATTTGTCTAGCACTGGCTAACTACTGGTTCTTCTAGGAAGACTCCAGTTGGCCAGTGGGGGCAAGTTCATTCATTCAAGGTGAGTTATGCTCCCAGAGGCTAGTGTGGGCATGTTCTTACGACTATTCAGAGGAGCACGGACTAAGCAGAAATGTGCAAGCACTTTTGCAAGTCTCTACTGGTGTGATATTTGCTCACATCCTGTGGTAGGCCAACATAAGCCATGAGGCCAAGTGCACAGAATGGAGACTGAGCACAATTTTGGGGGCAAATGTGGATACAGGGAGAGGTGGAGAATGTGGGACATTTTTTTTTTTACAGTAAATTCTGGCACCAATATCTGTGAGTGTTGTCTGATTATTGTGTGGAACAAATCCCAAGAGTTAGCATTGTTAGGTGAAAGTTACATACTTTTCTGAAGACTGAAGGAAACCACCACATTTTCCCCTGGAAAGATGAACTGTTGTACATTCCCATTAGCAGTAAATGAAAGAGCATATTTCTTTATGAACATGATTCTAGAAATAATATGCAAACTGGGGATACTCTAGGAGGACATGTTTAAGTGACATGATGCACCCCAAAGTTTCATACACAAGAGAAAATAGACATAAGAAGAGAAAATAAGGTTAGACATAACAAGAGAAAATAGACATAAGCAAGAGAAAATAAAGTTAACCTGGAAGTCTCAGGAGAGGTACCCCAATGTGGCTTTTGGAAATGTGTCATTTTCATTGCCCTAAGGCATATTGGAAAAACTCTGGGACAATTTTTAGTGACAGAGAAGGTGACTATATATTTTGGTTTGTGTGGAAATATCTTGGCTTACCCTGATGTTCCAGGTTTCCTGCCCCACCCAAAGGAGGGTAGAGCTGAGCAGGGAGAGAAGAAGCTGCAGAGGAGACCGAGGGAAGGAAGCAGGGTAGAGAGCCAGAAGGAGACCTGGAGGAGGCACATGGAGGCGAGAGACACATGAAGAAACTGAGCTTGCCTTTTGGTCGTGGACTGGGTGACACAGATGTGGGTGAGAGACCCGTGGGGAGGTGACAGTGGTGGTTTTTGTCTTGATTTTGATTTTGCTCTTTTTCTTCCAGACTTGTCTGGTTGTTTCTTATCCTTTTCTGTGAGTTCCCACTGGAAGATGCTTTTGACTTGTGGCAGGCTTTGGGGACTTGCTCTGGGCCAATCCTGCTTGGGTGGACTTTTACCCACGAGGGGACGGGTAACTTTGGGTGCTTGATTTAGAGACTAGATTCTTTGCCTTTCCTGTATTGTTTCCTAGTTGTATTAAAGTTCCTTCCCATTAAAGTCTCATACATTTTGTGTTGATGCGGCGGATGGCAGAACCCATTTAGAGCAGGCAGGTTTGCAGGGTCTGGGCTGCCCCTCTCCCTGCCCTGTAACACTTTTCATTGCCCTAAGGCGTATTGGAAAAACTCTGGGGCAATTTTGAGAGACAGAGAAGGTGACTATATATTTTGGTTTGTGTGGAAATATCTTGGCTTACCCTGATGTCCTGGATTAATTTTTAAGTGTCCTCTTTCATTCTCAAAAGTTTTCCATTTTGGATTATGGATTATGTGACCCCCCCAAGTCAAGAATACCTCAGCTTCCCTTGAGCTGAAACTCCTTCATTTATACAATTAATGTTTTTTTTAAGATTTATTTATTTATGCATACAAGAACTGAGGTACAAGTCAGAGGTGGGGGGGGGGTTTTGAGAGGATTTACCAGAGATAAAATGGGGGCAGAAAAGGCGATTGCATGAAATGCACTGCTAAGAGGAGCGACAGGCAAGGTCTGCTGTGCCGTGTGGGTCACCTCCCTGGCCAGCGATCAAATTCCTGCTGCAGTAACTACAGATAGCTTCATAGTGCTATCTGTGTCTTAACCCCTTGAGCCACCAGAGAAGCTTTGATTCTAACACAGGCACAAGTGGTGCTGAACCTCAGTGTGATAACACTGATCGAGTGGCTAGAAAGGAAATGAAGTCTCCTCGGGGCGAGAGACATTTCTCCTTCTAATGGGAAATTATGGTGGATTGTGTCAGGAGACGCTGTAATTGTCTTGGTTTGAGGGATTGCAATTTGAGGGCCCAGTTTGTTCATGGGCACCTTTCCAGAGTCCTGAAAGAGAATTGGACACAAAGATGTATAACCTTCAAAGGAGCCCTGTCTGTGCTTGCCTTGGGGGCTTCTCATCCTAAGGCTCTCTCAACTGGAGGTTTTGTTGTTTGTGCAACTTGATTCTGGAAATAAAAATGGGCTTTCAAAATCAACCAGCCAACCAACCAACCCACCCTGTGGAGGGTGGTACGTTTGGGCTAATTGTTTTCCTTTTCATTTAAACTTAGGTCCCACTGAGTATGAGGTAGCACTTTCAAGTTAATCTTTAGTAATTCCCAGGCATAAAGCTATTGCCTTCACTTCCCAGCAGGACATATGAAAGTGGACTCATTTGTAGAGAGAACAGGAATAGCAGCTTTTATAGCTTAAGGCCTGGAAGAAAACTGCTTTTTCCCCCTGACAATCATAATCCACCCATGCTTCTGAAAACACGTTTCAAAATCAAATGGACTTTGAGACTCTGGAATGTGCTTATATTAAGGCATATCTTGTCAGCCAATTTGCCTATAATCTATTATGTACAATCTAGATAAACTTGCCTCTTGTTTTTCCCTCTCTTACGACTTCCTTGGCCACTTTGAGTTGCCCGGAGGTCAAAGAGTTAGGCCTGCCCTGAATTAGTAGAGGTAACAGGAGTCAGAGAGAATCACTTTTTTTTCTTGGTCTCCACTGTGATTCCCTGATTTGAATTCACAGTGGCAGGATGAAGGAAGGGCGGGTGTCTGGGAGGGGAGCACCAGCTGAATAAAGGTCCAGAGGCCAACAGGTCATGGGGTCATTGTCTGCACAGACTCTGGAAGCAGAGCAGAAGCAAAGCTGGCTTGGTGTGGGCAGCTGGATTAGGGAGGCTGAGCAGAGGGGCTTTGAGTGGTGCCTGGGGAAATCCTGAGCCATTTAAATGAGCCATTTAAATCTGACAGACAAATTGGTGTTTTAAGAAGATTTACCAGGCAGTCATGTGCAGGATGAGGTGGAGAGAGTGGGTGGGAGCAGTGTGGTTGGGGGCTCCGTAATGGAGGTTGGGGGCGGGAGGGAATGAAGCTAGAATAAAGGTTCTGTTTTGAGCCAACAAACACTTACTGAGCACCTACTGTGTACTTTGTTGAGTCAGGTACCATCTTCAAGAAATCTCCCTTTCAGGGCCTCCCTGGTGGCACAAGGGGTTAAGCACAGCACTGTGAAGCTGTCTGCAGCCACTGCTGCACGAGTTCGATCCCGGGCCTGCCAGGGAGCAACCCACATGGCGCAGCAGACCTCTCCTCTCTCACCTGCTGCTCCCCTCAGCAGTGTATTTCAGTCAGTCTGCCTGTTCTGTTCCCCGCTCTATCTCTGGTGAATCCTCTCACCCCCCCCCCCCGCCCCCAACCCCACACCTCTGGCCTGGACCCCAGTTCTTGTATGCACAAATAAATAAATCTTTTAAAAAAAAAAAAAAAGACATCTCCCTCTCGGTGAACATAACCAGCATCTGCCCTTTTGTCCAAACCTGGAGTTCTATCTTGAACCTTCCTCTCCTTTTCTCCCTAATCTATCAAGTCTTCCTATTAATCCCATGCCTTTTGCACCTGCCTATTCTCCCTCACCCCCCACTTCCTTCAGCCACCTCAGCTGATGCCATCCCTCCCTGCATTAGGTCTGCCTGCTTCCACTCTCCCTCCCACCTCTTTCCCACTGGGCAGCTCTCGGGGAGGCAAGGTGACCTTCTAAACTATGCCACCGAATCAGGCCACCTCTCCCCCAAAGGGCCACCTTCTCCTGCAGTGGCTTCCCCAGTGTCTTTAAGGTAAAACCTAAGTTCCCCAGCAGAAACAGTAAGTCCTTGGTACCTGAGTCCCATTTGGGGTCCCTCTCTCCCCACCTTGCCAGGGCTCCTGCTTCCTCTACCTTGAAGCTTTGGATGTGGTCATACGAAATTACTTTCTGTACCTCTAAAGGGTCTAAAGCGTCCCATTGCCTCTCTTCTTTTTTGGGGTGACCCAATCCTCCATTCTGCCTCTCCCCTTTGACTTGTTCTTCAGATCCATGTAGAGTTCCCTTCCTTCTGGAAAGTCTGGCCCACAGGTGACCCTGGCTGCTTTCAAAAAAATGGTCTCTTTGCCTACCCTGGAGTTTAGCACGGCACGTCATCTCTGGCTGTTTTCTCCTACAAGTGAGCTTCAGGACGGCAGGGGATGCCTCTTTCTCCTCACCCCATGCTCTCCTGACACATAAAAGGTGCTTGGGAAATATTCATCAAATACGAGTGGATGAATGTACAAGAACCTGGGTGACAAGAGACGGGGAGGAGTATTGGTTCTGTTTTACAGATAAAGAAACTGAGGCTCAGAGAATGATTTCATAATTTGTCCAAAGTTTCTCATTTCACTCCCAGGATCCACTGAGCGCTGCTGCCTTCCTGCACAGGGCGTTCTCCTCTTCCTTGCCTCACCATGGAGAGCACCGAGACAAGAGTGCTCAGCCGCCTTCGCTTCTGGCTGATCATTCGGAAAGCTTCCAATGGGACCTCTGAAGGCACGAGAACAATAGATGAAGAGGCTTTGATATATTAGTGAAAAATTTCACAAACGAGTATTATTTGGCTTGGAGAGGGTAAAATGTGAGGAATCCAAATGAGCCATTTTCCAACATAACGTGAACATTTATTTCACTGAAGTCATTATTCAAAACACAAATCCTCCCTGTTTTTGAAAACCCAAGGATCTGGTTGCATGTGTTCACTGCTGCTTTTTTTTCCCCCCTTCATTCCAATCAATGCTCCTTGCTACTTTTTTTTTTTTTAATTCTTTGATTGACTGGAAGAGCCTCATTGCAGCATGATAGATATTGTTCATTTAACGCCAGCATTTACTTTTCCCCTAAACTAGTGCTCTGTTCATGATTGATCAGACTTCTCCCCCATTTAGCACCCATGTAAAACATTGCAAAAGATTGGGTCTGCAGCTCGGGGAGCATTTTTGCAGCAATCTGTTCCAGCCGCAGCAGGCATGCACAGTGGCATGGAAGCTCTTAATGAAACGTTGGCAGATATTAGGGTTTTATGGACTGGAAAACAGTACAAATCAAAGCGCTTTGCTTACTGTTTATATGTTTAGAACATTTTTATTTTCTAAACCTAGCAATGCTCATCTTTTTCATCCTGCACTTGTGCTTGGTTCTTTACATATTGATTTTCCTGTTCACTGGCATGCCTCGATGAAGTCAGAGCACTCAGGTGTGCTGTCTGCACGAGGGGCAGCCAGGGGGCATTTCCTGCTTGGAGACCCCTCAACCCACCGAGTGGGAGGCAGAGGAGCTCTCTGTATAGAAAAAATCCCTCTATATCACTTTCTTTTGTGTGGTCCTTGGGCCAAAAGAGTTGGCCTTTGATATTAGTTTCTTCCCAACATTTACATGCAAACGCTATAGTAAAAGTAGCATTCTCTTCCTAAAATTTATGAGGGGAGGGCCTCCCCGGTGGCGCAGCAGTTGAGCACTGGGTTGCGAAACTGCCCGCAGCCTCTGCAGCGCTGGTTTGATCCCCAGCCACTGGGCGAGGGTCCCACATGGGGCGCAGACCTCTCCTGCCGCCCGCTGCTCCCCTCAGCATCGTACCTCGGTCCTTCTGCCTGCTCTGCTCCCCGCTCTGACTCTGGTGAATTCTCTCACCCTCCCGCGCTTCTGAGTGTACCCAGTGCTTGTATAAATAAATAAATAAACCTTAAAAAAAATTTATGAGGGGATATGCAGTAAACAAAAGCCATCACAGATGGTTTCCCTAGGAGTTGGTAAATCTTTTATGAGAAAGAGCAGATACTTTTGGCTTTGGGGTTATATATGGCCTTTGTTGCACAAATTTGTCATAACACTTAAAAGATAGGTAATGGGAATGGCTGTTCTAGCAAAACTGTCTTTACAAAAAGACTGGACGGGGCGAGTTGTAGGATGATGGGTCAAATTTGCTGATTCTTGGTTTAAATGTAAAGACTTTAAGAGACATTGTATGCCTATATGGACAGGATCAAGAGAATGAACAAGGAGCATGGAGGTACCTGGAGAACAGTGCAGCAGGAAGCTAATACTTCCTCAAAGGCTGAGGGGGCCAGGGGGAAATGGTGTCACCGTGGCCCAGTGAGAGTGCGGTCCTAGGAGCACCAGAGCAGGGAGGAAGCTGGGAAGAAATACTTCCGCTTTTTCCTCCCTCCTGCATATCTCCTTCCTGTACCTCCCACTGTCTATTCCAATCTGGGGCCAGCCAGCAAGGGGCCTGGGGAGTAAGTCCCCAGGGGCCATCAGCTCAGAGACCATACAGCAGGTAGAAGGGGCAGGAGTGGTGGGTGAAGGAGGGAGAGAGAACAAATCAGCGAGGAGGTGGGCTAAAGCAAAGGGAGAATCCGTAGCGCAAGCGATGTCTATTGGGGGATAATCTTCTTTGAACCCACTCCTTCGGGGAGTGAATGCAAGCTTGTTTGGGTGCTTCCCTGGGCTCTGACTTTATTCTAGAGAACTGAGATGCCCCAGAAGCCTGCCCCAGGCTCAGGCATATGATAGGTTCAAGGAGAGCTCCTGGACTCATTCAGGTGAAGGAGGTCCAGGTGCAGAACTTTGGAAAGATGAGCTCCCTTTTTTCTGGTGGGTTCAACTTTGACAGTCAACTTATCAGGTGGAAAGGCCTTCACAGGGGGACGCTGTGCCCAAAAATCATGGGGGAGAGAATGCCCGGTGGGTGGGAAGAAAGCCAGATCCCAATACTGTCACTGAGCCCCTGGATCAAGTTATATCTGACAGAAAAATCATTTCTCAAGTAGATGAGTCAACAACTCCCCTTGCACTGAGACACTTCTGTTTGAGTGAGAAAGTCCAGATTTTTCTCTGGAGCCATGACAGGCCTCTTCACACTGCATGGACGTCACATGAGGCACCCCTAATCGCCACAGCAAATGGAAGACAATGATTCCCCTGTGAGCACGAAGGTTTTCAGGTGTGTGTGCAGCTGCTGTAAGCCATGGCATTTATGGCTAGTGTGTACATTTCTAAGACATAAAAATCTTTCTTTTTTGAATATCTGCATGACATGAACCTCATAAGTCACAAAGACAGCGTCTTCCTAGGTAATTACATAGATGTGGTGATAACCATGGCAACCTGGGAGTTCTGAGATGTAATGTCATCGCAGAGTGCTCCGGCTCGGGGACGCCGGTGTTGACATAGTGCCCACCAGCTCTGTGCTGTCTGGGTGCTTTCCCTTTGCTTGAGATTTGCCACATCTCGGGTTTCCTTGCAACCACCTGGCCTCTTGCTATGCCACCCCTGCCATCAGCGAGTCCCAAAGTTTTGAGTTTTACAGGCCAGGAAAAAGTCCAAAACAGAAGTAACACAAAACTGCCAACTTAATTTTGCTAAGAACATGTCACAAGACAGAGAAAGCAAACAACTACCATCTACTATTCCCATCATTCCATAAAGAAAGGACATTGTCCTATGTCTGAAAGGAGAGAAAAAACGAGAACCCTTTGAACAGAGAGCAGTTATCTTTCAGAAAAATGCCTGGTGTTGGGGAGGCTGTGTCTGGTGGGCCACCTGGATGGGGCGCGAGGCCCGAAATCCAGCCTCACTCTTCTTGCCAGGCCCTGGGTCCAGCACCAGCTGTGTCCACTCGGATGAAGGGATACCTTTTTCTTTGCACAAAGGGGCTTCCTGCTTGCCAAGCTGTGTGCCAACAGGGTTGTGTCTGCCCAGAAAGGGCAAATTTTTCTCATCTGTGCAAAACATTTTTGGAGCTGCCAGTGGTCCTGTATGACATATAAAAAAAAATTCACTGGGGGTTGTGCTTTGACCAGTGCCTGGCACATAGTAGGTGTTCAATAAATATGTGTTCAACAAATATTAAAGAACTGACGGGAACTCCATGGAGGGCCAGCCTCTCTGCATGTTGACTCTAGCTCAGCTACAGGAATCACATTTCAGGTCCTTTTCTGTGGAAAGGAGTGGAGAGGGAGATCAAGAAACCCCTCCTGCTCCTTTGTTCCTTGAGAGGACCATAAAGAATCCTGCTTTGGAGGGAGGGCAGTGACCCTTTGTATGGCTACACCATTTAGTGTGGTTTACAGCTCAGGTAACTGAGTCTTTGAAGGGTTAAATAACCTGTTCCAGGTCACCCAGTGGCAAAGTGAGGTTTTAACTGTGGAGTCCATACTGCTTGGATCTGAGTAGTTATACCCGGGCCCTGCACTCAGGAATGTACATGTGATCGTTTGCCCTGGAGCCCCATGAAATTGCCCAGGCTTGGAGTTTGTGGTCAGCTGACCTTCTCTCCCTTTTTAGCAGTTCTGTCACTGCCCCGCCCCATTCTATGTCTGATCCATGTGGATGTCATGACTATGATAAATACCGAAGGAAATGCTTTCTTCCCAGCCATGAGTGCACAGGGGTGCTAGCAGGCGTGTCTGGCGCCTTGTCACTGCCTGCCCAGCCTGGAAACTTTCCTTTATCAGAACTTTTTCTTTTCATGCCTTGCCTGTATTAGTAAATCACACAATGAGTGAAGCTAGAGTGAACAGATGGAGTGCAGTCAGAATGATTTAAGGGGGCCTCCCCGGTGGCACAGCAGGTTGAGCGCAGAGCTGTGAAGCTGTCCGCAGCCTCCGCAGCGCAGGTTCGATTCCTGGCCGGCCAGGGAGAGTCCCACATGGTGCAGCAGACCTCTCTTGACTCGCCTGCTGCTTCCCTGAGCAGTGTATTTCAGTCACTCTGTCTGTTCTGCTCCCCGCTCTGTCTCTGGTGAATCCTCTCATCCTCCCATGCCTCTGGCCTATACCCCAGCTCTTGTATAAAAATAAATAAATCTTTAAAAAAAAAAAAGAATGATTTAAGGATTCTGATTTTGGGAGTGAGAACTCATACCTAACATTTACCACATGTTTACCATGGGCCAGACACATTATATATCAATCTCCCTTAACTCCACTTTGCAGATGAAGGAACTAAATCCTAAGAATGTGAGGTAACTAGTCTGAAATAAAGCCTCTGGTAGACATAACGTGAGAACCTGAATCCAGGTCTGGTTGATTTCAGAAAGCTCAGCTTCTCCCAGTCTTCTGCCTGCTCTTTAGTGAGCGGTTAAGGGTCTGGACTCGAGGTAGAGGACAGGGGCGCAAACTCTTCTTCTACCACCTCCAGCTCTGTGTCTTTACCCAAGTAACTCAACCTCTCTGTGACTCTGCTTTCTGAGCTCCAAAACACTGGCATTCATAGTACCCACCTCACATAATAGTTCTTGTAAAACCAAATAGGTTGCATACATAATGTGCTTGGAACAGTAACCAATTTTTAATAAGTGAATTGTTCTTATTGGGACATCAAGTAACTTAGGCAAGAGAGCCAAGTGTCCTCTCAGCTCATGAGTGTTAAGGGTGTTGGGCCCAACTGCCCGTCCTCTGGAGGCTGTGCTGTCTGCAGGAGCATGTGCTCTTTGCTGAAGGGTAACCATGGCAGTAAAGGTTCTGCCCAGCAGGATGGAACCTGTGGCT